GTTTTTTTTTTTTTTTTTTTTTTTTTTTTTTAGCCTTGTGCAATAGTATGAGATAGTATTTAATAAAAAAAGCAAACTAAATCTTTAATTTTTTTTAAATATAAATAGAATGTTTTTTTAAGCATTATTAAAAGGAAAAAGTAAATACAATGATTAAGTATTATTTTTTAATCATATAAATTAACTATTTAGAAATAAATGATGTTTCCTAATCATTTAATATAATTTATTTCATTATTAATTTTTTGAATGTTAAGTTAGCATGTTCATTAGTACCATAACAAATTATATTTATAAAATATAATTGTTTTATATGTATTTCTTTATATAATTTATTATATTTTTTTAATATTTTAAGATGTCAAGGATTTGCTTAGTAACTGGTGGTACTGGTTTATTGGGATATAGCTTACGTGAAATTATAAAAAATGAAAATCATGATTTTAATGAAAATGGGAATGAGATAATTATTAATTCAAATGATGAAAATGTAATAAAAAAATATATTTTTTTAAGTTCTAAAATGTGTGATTTAAGAAATTATGAAGAAACGAAAAAATTTTTTGAAAAAAATAAATTTACTGATATTATACATTTCGCTGCACATGTAGGAGGTTTATATGCCAATAAGTCTAATAATTTGAATTTTTTAACTAATAATTTAGACATTAATTCTAATGTAGTTAAATTATGCCATGAATATTCTGTAAAAAATAAAATAATGACATAAAAATATAACTTTAATATATATATAACTATAATATATATATATATATATATTTAATTAAAACACTAGAGATAAAAAAAAAAAAAAAAAAAAAAGGAAAAAAATTTATAAATAGAATAGTTGTATCCAGTTAAAAGAAAGACAAAGTATATGTGTGTAAAATATTTTATTGAAGTTTGAATTCTTTATTTTAAAATTTTTTTATTATTATTTTATCTTACAGATTACTAGAGGAATATTTACTTTATCAACTTGCATTTTTCCCGAAAAATGTGAATTACCTTTAATTGAAGAAAAAATTCATGATGGTAGATGTCATTTAAGTAATGAGGGATATAGTTTATCAAAAAGAGTTTTAGAAGTTATGGTTAGATTCTACAGAGAAAAATATAATTATGAATGGATTTGCATAATACCAACAAATATATATGGTAAATATGATAATTTTAATGTAAGAGATGGTCATGTAATTCCATCTATTATTCATAAGATGTACTTAGCTAAAGGTAAATTTTTTTTTTCTTTTTATTTTAATATTATATGCAGATTCATATTTACTTTATAATTCCTTATTTTATATAATTTTACTAATTGTTTGTAGTTAATAATACTAATGTAAAACTTCCAGGAGATGGGACAGCTATTAGACAATTTATATATAACAAAGATATAAGTAAAATATTATATTATATTCTAAACACTTATTATTCTAAAAATTTAACGATTATTAAAGATAATATTTTTAATGTTATATTATCAACTAATATTCCTTCTAATGGTATGCATGTATTTTTTAATTTTTTTTTTTTTTTTTTATATTTTATTGAAATTTTTTATTTTTTGTTTATTTTTTTTTTTTTATTAGAATTGACCATCAAAGAAATAGCAAACAAAATTAAATGTTATTTAAATTTTAATAATGATGTATTGGTAAAAATATAGAGATAAAATTTTGAAAAAAAATTTAAAAATATAAATAAAATGTGATACAAGAAAAATAATATATAAAAAAAAAAAAAAAAAAAAAATCTAAAATAAAAATTTCTTTTCCTTTAGTTTGACACAACAGAGGACAATGGAATTCATAAGAAGGTTTTAATTTAATATTATTATTTAAAAAAAAAAAAAAAAAAAAAAAAATAAAGTATAAAATTTACATAATACATTTTATTAATTTAATTTTTAGACATCATGCAATGACAAATTAATGAAAATTTTGGAAAATTCTTTTGAATTTACTTGTTTAGACAAAGGTTAAATATAATAATAGAATAAAAATTACTAAATGAGTAAATATTTTTAAATTCAAATGATATAATTGTACTATTAACTTTTTTTATTTTAAATATATGTATTAAAAATATTACTTCAGGGTTAAAAGAAACTATTGATTGGTTCATTTCTAATTATGAAAATATAAGAAAATAAAATTTAAAAATTAAAATTATTTTTATTTATTCTAGATTTTTTCTTTTATATTTTTACTAGTATGATAAATTAATCTTTTTAAAATATTAAAATTAATACATATATATTGTTTTACTAATTTTTTTTTTTTTTTTTTTTTTTTTTTTTAATACTTATTATATCAAGTATAATAAAATACATATATATATAAATTTTATGAAATATGTTACATTTTTTGCACATTATTCTTTCATTAATTAAATTTATATATTTACATGTTACTATTTTTTTTTTTTTTAAAGATAAAATAGAGTAGGTAAAGAAATATTTAGAAAATATATTATATATTACATTCTTATATAATTAACTCAAACATATATATATATATAAATTTTGCAGAAGTTTTTAATTTTATAGAATTGAAATATTTTTAAATGATATACTTTTTTAATCTCTAAGAGTATTTTTACTATGTTTTTAAGATTTATATTTTATATATAAAATATTAAAATTATTTAAAAAAAAAAAAAATAAATGAATGAAATAAAAAGAAGAGTATACATTTTTAAGTTTCACAAATAATATAATTCATTTTTTATTATTAACAAGTGTTTTATGATATTAGAAATGATCATTATAATATTTTCACAAATCAAAATTAAAATCTCTATTTGAAGTATCATTTAAAATTTAATGATATTAAAAAAATACAAACGAAAATAAAATAGGAAAACAATTAATATTGCCATATTAATTTACTATTGTTAGTCTTTGTTTTTTAGTTTTAGATTTCCATAAAATATAATATTTTTAAATATAAATATTAAAACCATAAAAATTGGAAAAAAGAAATTATATATGCTACATTATTTTTTTTATATAAAATTAAAAAAAAATATTATATATAGTATTCCTATCTTAATGATATTCTATTCATTCTATAAGCTGTTAAAACTGAAATGTATGTGTTGTTAGTGAATTTTCATAACTTTTTTAGTTTATTTAGCTTTTGAAGGATTCTTTTTTCATGATTAACGCTTATGGATTTTATTTTTGAAATGATTTTATGTTTATGTTAAAGATAATTTATAATAAAACGAGTATGTAAAATAAAATTATAATGTATATAAATATTTTTTATATTAAATATAAAAAAATAAATTTATAGAGAAATTATACTTTATTTCTTATATAAATTCAATAATTTTGATAAATTAAAAGAATATAAATGATGTAATTAATATTTATTTTAATATTTACTATTTTAAACATAAATTTTATATTCATAAATTGTGAAATACAAAAGCTAAAAAGTTTTAATAAAATGTATAGAAAATTTTTTTAAAATAAAATTATTTTTTATTATTAAATAATAAAAATTAAGAAATAAAAATATATATATATATATATGTATAATATTATTTATTAAAATAAGCAAGTTTTATTTTCACTTTAAAATATATATTAATATGTGTAATAAAAAAAAAAAAAAAAAAAAATTTACTTTCAATTTATCAACTATATTGCATATATAATAATATTCATCATATGAGATATAAATTAGAAGGTACATATTAAATATAAGATAAAAATTTGTTACTTCTTATATTCTATAAAACTTATATTTTCTTTTCATTTTTTTTTCTTTTTTTTGTTTTTTTTTTTTTTTTTTTTTTTTATTATATCTTTGTGTGTTTATTTTATTTTATATCATTTTATTTTTTTTTTTTACTTAATTATGCACATATTAAATGAGAAAATTATAATATTTATTTATATATATATATATAATATATATAATTTTTTTTTTGGTGTATTTTTTTTTTATACATTACATATATATATGATTAGTTAATTTTAGCTGAAATTATTGACATTGTTTACTTTTTTATTTATTTTATTTTATTTTATTTTTTTTTTTTTTCATTATAATTGTTATTATTTCATTCTATGGATAAAAAATGGATGATAAATCATATTTAACATTTGTTAAAAGAAAAAAAAAAAAAGTAAATGGAAAGATAAATAAGGAAAAATGTAAGAAAAGTTTTATAAAAAATGAAAAATATTTAAGATTATCTACATTAAATAAAAATATTAATAAGAAAACATTTTTATACACATTATTTAAAAGCTTTATTAAACCATACAATGAAAGAAATACTGCGTTTTATTCGATCTTATGTATCATTAATAATATTTATAAATGTCGTTACTTTTTTAAGCATCGATGTTTGATATGTAAACCATTTCATGAAAAAAAAGTAGTCTCACAGGATGATAATGTATATAGTAGTGATGGGGATGATTCTTTTGCTTATAATATTTATTATAATTTAAAAAAAATGAATTTAATGGAATCAAATAAAATAAAAAATTATAACTCAAATAATAATAATAATAATAATAATAATAATAATAATAATAATAATAATAATAATAATAATAATAATAATAATACAAGTAATAATAATAAATCTGTAATAAATAGTAAAACTAATACTAAATCATTTAATTACTGTTTAACAAAATCTGTACAAAATAGTGAACAAATATTTGAATCAGAAGAAAAAAAAGAAAAAGAAAAAAAAAGAGTAACAAGGGAAGAAAATAAAAAAAACGATGGAGAAAAAGAACGAGAAGGAATAGAAGAAGAAAGTAAAACAGTATTATCAGAATCTGTAAAGTCAAACATAGTAAGTAATAAAACAAGATTGAGTTCTAATTCAAAACATAATATTTCTATTATGGATGAAACTCAGCTTTCCACATCAACTATACAGAATTTTGTAAATGTAAAATTAAATCTTATAAATGTTAACCATTATCATTTTTTATCGCATGAAAAAGTAAATTACATAGATGTATATAGTTTTGATTTATTTGATAAAATAAATATGTATGATAAAATCTTATTAGATTTAAATCAAAATGAAATTCATCCAAATATATTAAGAACGGGAATATTTTTTAATAAATATTGTAATACAACTCATAACCACAGGAATGTTGATTTATTAATTGCATTAAAATCATTCATAAAAGATTATACCTTACCTCCCTATGAACCAATTAATAGGCACATGAAAATTGTAATAGATAAGGAGATTAATTATATTATTATGTGCAAAAAACATAGTGTTAGTATGGGAGAAGTTATTAGATGGTTTAAAAATATGATAAGTGAACATATAGGAAAAAGTGTATTAGAAGAAACTAAAGAAATAATTATAAATAATATTAATAATTATATTAGAACAAAAATAGTAATTCCATCGATAAATATATCAAATCATATATCTGAACATATAATTAAAGATAATGATATTTTATTAATATATACCTTTGATTATGTTATATATTTATCTATATTAAAAGCAAAAAAAAAAGGAAAAAATTTTGAAATAATTCTCGTAGATTCAGAACCATATAAAAATTCTTATAATATAAAACTATATACAAAATTAGGTATATCTGTTACTTACACTTTAATTAGTGGATTATTTTATAATATAAAAAGGTGTACCAAAATATTGTTAGGAATTGATGCAGTTATACATAATAGTGTTTATGGTTATGTAGGAACTAGTATTATATGTATGTTGGCTAATATAAGTAATGTTAATGTTTACATTATTTGTGAAACATATAAAATAAGTAATAAAATTATCATTGATAGTTTTAACATGAATAATATAAATAATAACTTAGATATTTATGACTATATTTATATGCATCATTATCATCATGCTAATCCTTATAATTGCTCATCAAAAAAAAAAAAGAATTTAGAATACGGTTCTACTTTTAATAAAAAATTAAATAATTTTATTAACTCTTTTTATGATATTAAAACAAATAATGTTTTATTCAATAATGTTTCTAGTTTTAATAAACCAACTATTAAATATTCTTCTAAATTAAATAAAGAAAATTCTCAAAAAAATTTAAATAAAACCGATAAAAAAGAAAAAGAAAAAGATTATACTATTAATCATATTGTCTCTGAAAATGGGTTATTAAAAAGTGAAATTAATAAAAATTATGATTGTAGCATAATAAAATTTAGCAATTATTCCTTTCATTCTGACACAAAAAATGATTTAAATTCAAATGATTTTTTTTTTAAAAATAAAAGTATAAGTAAGGATCAAAATTCCTTTTTTTTTATGGAAAATTATAAGGAACAAAAAAGTATTTCTATCATAAAGGAAAAACCTAATGATTTAATAAATAAAGATGAAGAAAATAGTTTAAAAAAAAAAGATAAAAATCTACCTATGGGAAGTTTTAAAGATATAAATAATATATCTACAAAAAATATACGAAAACAACAAATAAGTATATCTCATGAATCTAAAAGTGAAAATATAAGCATTTCTATCAATAATAAGCAAAATTCTCAAGATGTTTTAAAAGATAATAAAAATAATATAAAAAATAAAGGATTTTTTAATTTAGGTAATGATAAAAATTTCAGTGAAAAAAATACATACTCTTTAAATTTTAAAAATCATTTTGATGCTAAGATAAATAATTTTAATTCACAAATGGAACAAAGTGAAAATGAAGATGAACAAATTTCTTGTAATAATATATGTGATTCTATTTGTAACTCTATTGGAAATATTAATATAAAAAATGTTTGTACAGATAAACATAATGAAACTAATTTATTTAGTTCTGTTTTTTCACATATAAATAAAATTAATTCAAATAATGATAAATCATTTTATGTAGCTAATATATGTAATGATGTTACCCCTCTTAAATATATAAATTATATTGTAACTGAAGTAGGCGTTTATACAAGTGAAAATAAAAATGCTCTAAATGTTTTTATTCATAATAATATTTAATTTCTTTTTTTTTAAATAACTAATCATATATTTCATTTTTTTTATTACTTTATTATTTTATATTTTTTGTTTCCTTTTTTTCAAGACAAAAAACTTCTAAATTTATATTTTTTATGTTTGTTTCAAGAAAACTTATTCTTTACACATGAATGCATTATTTATTTTAAATGATTATTAAATAATTTTTTCTGTTTGTCTTTTTTTTTTTTTTTTTTTATATTAAAAAAAATAAAATAATGTTTAATGTATACAAAAAAAAAAATTTAAATAAAGCACTGTGTAGTTCATTAATATTATCATTACGTGATTTTTGGTTTTATAAAATATAGGTAAACTAAAAATGAACGTAAAAATAAATATATATATATATATATACATATTTTTTAAAATAATTTTTTTTTATGCATTTTGTTTTTATTCTAATTAAAAATTGAAAAGGAAAACATTTTAAATTTGCATATTCTTTCCATTTAGAAGAAATTACATTTTAATGTATTCAAGTGTAAAAAAGAAAAGTAATTTACCTTATTTTTAATACATAGTTATTAAAACATTTTTTTAGTAATTTTTTTCCTTATACGAATATTAAAACTGTTCTTAAAAATGAGTTTCTCTTTTCATCATTTTTATTTTATTTTTTTTCTATTGAATTTAATAAAATTATAAAGTTATCTATTTCTAATGGTTTGAAACAAAATTTAAAAAAGAAAAAAAGATATATATGAATAACTACTGATTCTTTAAAACCTTAAAAAGATATAAAATTAAAAAAATGAAAAGTAATTGAATAACTAAAAAAAAACAAAAAAAAAATTTATAGAACAAAAAGAAATTATAAATTGAATATAAAAGAGTGACAAATTGTAAACAAAAAAAAATAATAAAAAAATAAAATAGAAAAAACCACATATTTCTATTTCTCAAATGCTTAATTTAATGACCATAGGAGACGTGCGTGAAAAATTATAAAGATTTAATCTACTAAAAGAAAATAAATATAAATTTATGTATTGGAAATTTTTAAAATATACATTTAGTTATATATATATATATATATATATATATATATTTACGAAAATTTTGTATATATATAAATGTATTTTTCTTTTTTTTTTTTTCTTAAATATACACTTTAAAATATTTCATATTCATTAGTTATGAATATCTCTTCTATAATTTGAAATTTTACTTCTGTCTTTTTTCTTATCTTTATATTTTTTTTTTCTTTTATGACTTACGTCTGAACATTGCAAGGACAATGCAAAAACAGAAAAAACTATGAAACCTATGGCATAATAAATCATATATTTTTTAAAATGTTCAATAATTTTATTTAAAAGTGATAAAGAATTATGTAATTCATTTCCATTATTATATTTATCATGTAATGGTGATACTCCATGGTTTTTATCTTCGCCCTCTCTGAAATGAGTGTTTTCTTTTTTATCTAAATCATTCTTGTTAACTTCAACAACACTTCTTAGTAATTTCATGAAGTTTTTTTTAATATCTTCAGGTATATGTAAATCTTCATTTGTTTTTCTGAAAAACGGAATTATGCGAAAAATTAAATTAAAATATAAAAACTAAAATATAATAAAATATATATATATATATATATAATATCTTAAAAAAAAAAAAAATATATAATTAAATATATTATGAAATACTTATAATAAATATTATAATATATAATAAAATTAATTTATAATTAAAATTTTTTTTTTCTTTTTTTTTCAATCAATTTAAATAAATTATAAAAATAAACATACGTATCCTTTTCAGGAGTAATTTTTTCTTCCTTTGTTTGCATATTATTTTCTAAAGTTGGTGTCATGTTTTGTGCGCCATTAGTAATGATAGGATATATATCAGATTTTTGTTCATCATGTTTTAAATTTTCTGTGTTTTCTTTTCCTTCTGGATTATTTTTTTCACCTTCTTTTTTTTCTTTTTTTTTATCTTTTTCATTATTTTCTTCATGATGTTCTTCACTACTTTCATTTCCTTTTTTTTTATCTTTATTTTTTTTTTCATTTTCATTTTTTTTTTTTTTTTCTCCATCATCTTCATCATCATATTCATCTTCACCTTCACCTTCTTCTTCGTCTTCATCCTCATCTTCATCTTCATCATCTCCCTTTGCTTTTTTTTTATTTTCATTTTTTTCTTCATCTTTTCTATTATCTTTTTCTTTTCCTTTTTTTTTAATGGTGTCTATTTCTTCATCTCGTTCTTCTTCTTCATCTTCACTTATATGTTCTTCCATTTCATCTAAATTTATTTTTTTTTCCTTTTTTTTATCCTTGTTTTTTTTTTCTTTGTTTTTCTTTTCATTTTCCAATGTTAAAGATTTATCATCTTCCTTTTTCTCTTTTTCAACGTGTGGATCCTTTTCTTTCACCTCATTTTTAGATACAAAAGAGAAATCTAATATTAATATTTATAAAACATATCAATAAATTCATAGTTTCATATTTTTAGAATTTTTACGTAGAATATATATATAAATTCATATTTATATTTATATATTTTTACAATATTTAATTTTTTTTTTTTTTTTTTCCTATTTCATACCCATAATGTTTTTTACGTCACGTTTATCATATTTATAAGTACTTCCTCTTTTTAATTTTTTTAATGGTTCGTGAATTTTCAACATATAATTCTAAAAAGTAACACATATTCAAAGATAAATATATGTAAATGCATGCTTTTCTTATTTGTTTTATACATTTAAACTATCTACAATAGTAGATTATACGCATATGTTTACTACAACGCAAAAAAAAGAAAAAAAGTAAAATTGATATTTTTCTTCTCCTTAAAGAAGATTTTATATAAAAGGTATATTAGAAAAATATGAATAGTTTTTACAAAATAATAATTAAAATCTTTTTTTTTTTTTTTTTCAATTTTTGTTAAACTAAAAAAACAATGATATAATAAAATATATAATTACTTCAAATATTTTCATACGTTTGCATTTGCTTGAATTGTTATAAGGAAACTAAAGTAATAAAGTATAACTAGGCATAATATCCTAATTTTTTTTTGCTCTATTATATAGTAAAGCATTTTATAAAATCATGTTTTTTCTCCAAATTTAAATCATTACAAATTTAAATATGAAAATTTTCTTTAAAAATAAATACTTATATATATACATATTAAAAATATTTTGTTTACATATTACACTATATTTATATAAATTCGGTATATATATATATATATGTATTTTTAAAAATGAATATATAATTATATATAGTTTTATATTACTATCTTATTGTTACTATGCACATTTATGCATGAATGATGTAAAGAAAAGTATTGATTATTATTAAAAAGACATTCTTTTTGCATAAAACTATAACTTGTATATATATTTTTAAATTATATCAAATGTTGTTTTTTACTTTTATAAAAATATTTAATTTTAAAAAATTTATCTTTTTATTAGAAATTTTTAAAAAAAAATAAACAAATTTTTATGTCAAGTTTTTATAAAACTTCCAAGAATTTTAAATAAATATTTTAAAAAAAAGAAAAATTAGGCAATATTAAAAAAAAAAAATCACATTTTATTTTTTCCGTAGAATAAATATTTAATTCGTGTAATCATTTTTGTAAAATAATAATGCGCCTCAATCCACTCTGCTATATGATCGTAACAATACATATCACCATTGTATCTTCGAAAAACAGAACAAAATATATAAATAATTAAAAAAAAAAAAAAAATATATATATATATATAATATATATATATATAAGAAATTAAAAGAATATTATAAGCACTTATATAAAAGATATTTACACAAGAACATAGAAAATAAATACTTTGAAAGAGACAACTTTTTTCTTAAAAAGAATTATAAATTTTATAAAAATAATTAGGTATATAAAAAACTTAATTAGACAACAATATTTAATATTTCATATAAAGTTTTAATAAAGTATTTTTAAAATAAATTTAACTTAAAATACAAATATTATTTTTTTGTTTTTTCATTACTTGAATGCATTGCTTATTTTTACATCTTTACTTGAGTTGAAAACTTTATAAAGTAAAGAGTTATATTTTTTTTTATGAATTGATGAAACATATAATATTAAAGGTAAGGTAGTGATATTCAAGAAATTACAAAGATCTTTCACTTTATCTATGTTAAAAATGTAAAAATCTAATTTTATTTTATTTTCATTTAATACTCTTGCTACTTCTCTGAAAACTGTTATTAAGTTACTACAAAAAATATTAAAAAAAATAAAAAATAAAATAATTTTATACATTTATTACTTAAAGTTTTATGTATTGCTTATTATACTTTTTTATAAATTTTAAAAATATGAGATAAAATTTTTTTTTTTTTAAATAGTACTTTGAGTCAGTATCCCATTTGGCATAGATATAAAGAATAAAATCGTTATTTGTTTGTATGTATAGATAATCTTGAAAAAATTTTACATTTTTATAATTTAATGAACTATCTAAAACATAATTTTTCTTCTGATTATTTTTTTCTACTGTTAACATTTTTTGAAATTCTTGAAAACTTAATTCCTTTATATAACAAATCACATTTTTTAAAAAAATACATAAAAAAAATAAAAAGAAAATTTTCATTTTTAAAATAAAAAGTATTCACACAGTTGTGATATATTTAATTTATAAAACTAATAATGAATAAAAAATGAATTATAATTTGAAATCATAGCGTTAAAATAGAGAAACAAATTAGAAAAATACTAAGAAAAAAGGAGAAAAAACATAATTATGTTAAAAAAATATGATAAATAACATATCAGGAATATATTTTTTTTTTCATATCCATACATAAAATAAAAGCAAATTAAAAAAAAAAAAAAAAAATAATAATAAAGTATGACTATAAATAAATACAAAAAAAAGAAAAGAGAAAATAACTAAAATAAATATCATATTTTTTTTTCTTTTTATAACCAAATGTGAAATAAAAAAGTACCGACTTCAAAAATGAAGAATTTATTAAGGATAAGTAAAAAGAGTAAGAATTATTTTCTTTTTACAAAAAAAAAAATAAAATAAAAAATAGTTGAATATATTTTTTTTTTTTATTTGAAATATTAAGAAAAAAAAAAAAAAAAAAAAATA